CTTTGACTTAAATTCGGACAGACAACGACACAGCTGAGATATGAGTCTGTTTGAACTAGGATTGTGTATCGACTTATGAAAACTTGGATTGTGTATCGACTTATGAGAACTTGGATTGTGTATCGACTTATCAGAACTGGGATTGTGTATCGAATTATTCGAGCTGAAGAGCAAAAACGTAACAACTGTAAACAAGGCGACTGGGAAACACAGAATATCTCAGATGTATAACGAACAAATTGGGAAGACAGAACGCCCGAAAACAATAGCAGGAAGAATATGTACTCAATTCATAAACAAAATCAATACTAACATACGCGTTTAGTAGTGGAAACAGACAATGAGACATTTGGACAGACACAAACAGCATGGCAAAGCATTCACGTTGACATCAATACAAACTATAGTCAAAACGAAAGTAAAGACGATAAGGTACTTCAAACACAGAACACCTGTACGTGGCACCATGTTAGCTGAGGGAAGAGCCATGTTAGACAATGTTAAATTACATATTTGTCTGGATTTAACAAACCACGATCAGTGCCCATTGGGAATGTAAAATATGAACACGGAATAACATTTTGAAAAAGAGAGCTTTAACAAATTAAACGATCTTGACCTTGAAAGAATGATATTGTCAGCCGAAATTCGTAATGGACCTTGAGAGACAGGATGCTGAGACTATCATAGAATCAGTGTAACACAAAAATCTGTGGTCATGACTGTAGTTAACGTTCAAAGTCAGGTCTTGCTCAAATTAAAGTAGACGCGAGGTAGCTTTTCTCTAAGGACAATGAAAAATACCCAAGTGTTTGTGATAGGAATATGTCAGTATCTAGCGTAGGAACCATATCAGAATGTAGGTTAACATGATTGGGCTCGACCCTGAGATGGCGGTTTAACATTTGTGTTTATATATATAAATCTGGGTGTGTAGATTAGACAATTTTATACGATCATTCATCTGAATGTGTGGAATAGACTTGTGCACATACTTATCAACCACGGATTTTGGTTTAGATATTTTGTATATACCCATTTATATGAGTATGCGGTTAAGAATTTTATATGTATTCATTTATTTGTGTGAGTGGTTCAGAATTTTATATATATATAATCACTAATTTGATTGTGTAGTTCAGCCATTTTGTTTATAATCATTAATCTTAGTATGTGATTAAGACATTTTGTATATAACTATTAATCTGAATGTGTGGGGTTAGAACCATTCATCAGACTGTTTGGTTAAGACATTTTGTATCTTACCATTAATCAAAGTGTATGGTTGAGGTACTTTTTATATAATCATTAATCTAAGTATGTGGTTCATAAATTTTGTATATGACCATTAATCTGAGTGTGGTTAAGAAATGTATGTGGATGTGAAATTATATCAATATCTTGGGATAAATGGAAAACAGCAAATTTACACCGAGAATTCTACTATGACAAGCTTCCCATACGACTTCGAATTAGGAAGTTAGCGTTTAGCTGTTCGTCACAATTTTAAGGAGAGACGGGGTGTTATTTTAAGGAGAGACGGGGTTTATTTTAATGTTTTTGGGGTGTTATTTTAATGTTTTGAGGGTGTTATTTTAAGGAGAGACGGGATTTATTTAGGCGACCAACTCCCCACTGAGGGGTGTACATAGCTTTGCTGAAGGTTTTTTGATGTCAGACCGATGCTACTCAAAATATTTCTCATGGGAGATAACTCTTGAAACTGACGGTGAAATCATTCATTTCTGATTATGACTAAGGTGTCACGTGATAGTGTTAATAACTTCCAAATACATACTTAGTAATAAAAAACCCAAAAAGAAATAAAATAACTCAAATGAAAAAGAAAAGAAAAGAAACAAATCAACAAGCAGATATAGTATTGATTGTTAACCGTTACGTTCACAGCTTTGCCAAATGTCTAGTTTCGTAAAATGTATCATATGAATATTTTAAAACACTTTAAAGTTAGATTTTCAGTCCACTTGATCCTATAATTTTTTAATACACTTAAGCTTCAGTTTATATTTGTTGTTACGCTTTTTAGTACACTAAGACATAAAACTGTTATCTTACAAATAATAAGACTACTTTAATTCACTTTGCCACAGCACTATCTCAGTTTATTATCATAATACTATTTTAGATCTTATCTTTGTTTATTTTACAATAAGACTTTTTTGTGTCCAATCTTAATTTATTTCACCATAAAACTATTTCGTATCTTATTCTTAGTTTATTTTACCATAAGACTATTTTATTTATTTATTTAAATTTATTTCATCATAAGACTATTTTGTGTTTTATCTTAGTTATTTTACCTTAAACCTATTTGGTATCCTCTCTTAGTTTATGTTACTATAATACTATTTTGTATTTCATCTTTGTTTGTTTTACCTTATGATAATTCCGTATCTAATTTTAGTTTATTTTTTCTTAAGACTATTCTGTGTCCTTTATAATCAGGCTGTTTTCACACGGTTTATCACACGGCTGTGTTTGAACACTTAGCGGCTGTTTAAGTACAAGTAAACGCCCTTACAAGGCCATTTTATCACTTTTATGATAAAACATGTTCAACATATTGACATTTATTTTGAGAATATTCAGTACATTGAACATCATATCAATTTTAGTATACTTTATCAAAAGACTACTTTTAGAATAAGTGTACAAAGCCATTTAAGTACACTGTATAATGAGACTTGCCCACACTTTATAATGACTGTTTCAATAATTAATCATTTGAGTGTTTAAGTACATGTTAATACACTTCATCATACGACTATTTTGTCTTATCGTAGAAGAACTTAATAATACTTTACCTTTGAACTATTTCAGTAAATGTTGAATTTAGATATTTTAATACACTTTATACATAGACTTCTTACGTACACTTTATCAACGACACGAGCATTGACGTTACGCGTGTAAGTGAGCGAGCGTGCTAGCTGACAAGGCAATATATGTCTTTGTCCCAATACTGTCACGTCATATCTTAACGCATGCTCTTAATTATATCCCATATGAATATAGCTCAAAACATGCGATTTTTTCACATATTTTTCCGAATAAGTAGAACCTCAATGTTGTAAAGATAAAGTATCGATACATATGTGATATATATCGGTACAAAGATGATGTCGGCACATACGTGATATATATCGGGACTTTCCGATATAAATCGGTACATTTGTGATATATATATCAGTAAATATCTGAATATATCGGCACATGTGTGATATATATCGGAACGTTTCAGATACTCATCGGTACATAGGTGATATATAGAGAATAATACATGCCTTTTTCCATATCATACCCAATATCAACCCTCGACCAATATCAGCCCGAAGGCCTGAGGGCTGATATTGGTCGAGGGTTGATACTGGGTATGATATGGAAAAGGGCATGTTTTATTCTGTTTATTACATACTTCCTATTGAAATACGGAATGATTTACTATCTTATGATCTATTTATCTTTTTTGAAATATTGAAAAAAAATCCAAATGGGGTGTGATACGGGTTTTGCGGGCTGATACGGAGAGGGCTGATTCGGGTTTGGGATGTGATACGGCGATCGCATATACAAACAACCCGTATTTATTAGTAAGTATGTAATAAAAATCGGTACATTTGTGATATATATCGGTACATATGAGATAAATATCGGTATATATGTGATATATATCAGTACAAACGTGATACATATAAACACTATATATATGTGATCTACAAGGAAATAAGTATTAATTGACAAATGATCTGAAGAAATATACAATTAAAAAATATTGTTCATGGAAAAATCATTTCGTAAGCATCACTATCTTAAGACAAATTAAAAGCATTTCCATAATATAAACACCTGATAAACTCGTTTATTAATTAAACAATAAAAGTAATCACTGGAATATAGGGATATACAATTTAAAACTAATGAAGTATTTCAATTTATTTTGGAGGAAAGAAGAATAATTCAATTCAAGAAAGGAACTAACCGTACGCCAAATACAAACCCGTTAACGACCGAGGTTACAATATCAAGACATGCTTATGTCTGTTTCATGGATATTGTCAAATTATCTAAAGCAAGTCAGTGTTAGCTTTGGTTCACAACGATTGTAAAAATCAACTATAGAAAATAAGTCTCGTTTTGGTTTAACAGCGACAGGTAAATAGTAGAAGAGAATTTCAGATTTCCTTCAGATATGCCGAAGACACCATTTAGTGGTCGATAAACCGGAATTGGGCAGCAGTGCTATCAACCCTCACTAACTTTGTTATACAAGAATATAAGGGTCGTAAACATTAAAACAAGAACACAGACACTTTGACAATATGATAGCCGAGCCTTATCTTACCCACGCGGAACAACCTTACAACCCCACACGATGGTCTCGGTACTTATTGATAGGTTTAGATTTATGCTAAAATACCGGTTCTTCAGTTTGTATACATAGTATTGCAGTTAGCCTAGTATTTCTGATTACAAATGGGAGTAACGGATCGCAAGCATGGAGTCCTAGTTGCTTAAAACCAAATCAACAAGTTTTAAAGTCTAAAAAGTTCTAATGACTTAATTTAGTTTAATATAATGACCAATATTTGTTTACTAGGACTTGTTATAACCGACATGGTGCTAGGTATCTGACAATGTCACGGAAGTGTTAGAGTAGCTTTGGGCTAATGCTTTACGCGTCGTTCAGTACATAGAATAATTCTGAAGGCATATAAAAGGAACTTAATCATACAATGCTTTCTCGAGATGTTTTAAACCTTGTACACAGTCTGAGTAAGAGATGCTATTTTGATAGCAATCCGAGAATTTTTTTATTGAAATGTACTGTATCCTTTCCATTTATGGTAAGCAAATATTGGTACCGATGGCAGGCGCTACCAGAAGCCGAGAAAGCTCCCTTGTAACGGGATTAACATAGATAAAACTAAACGTTTAAGCTTAAATATAACCAAGTTAAAAGATATCAATAACAATAATACCTTTGCCGACGATGAGGAGTAAGGTTCGTCGAAGAGCGCCCATATTTTCGGCTGGATCCGTTGCCAACAGTTCAGTTCGCCTGTACGATATTCCTCCTCCCACCCAAATTTCTTCATAATGTCTTCCTCAGTGGGTTTGTCCGTATCCAGATCGAGTCTGTCCAAAATCCCTAACACATCCTGTGTGTCTCTATGTGACGTATACGTCATCCAACAACAGGGCTCCACCTGGTTCGAATCCAGTCCCCAGAATTCTAATTCCTCCTCGAATAATGGACCACACACGTCCGTGGGATAATGGAGCTTCCCGGACCGATAATAGTTCAGGATTTGAGCAAACACTCCTGGGTGTCTGTCAAAGAAGTATTCATTCAACACAGGGTCATAATTGGCCAATGCTTCGGTCAGTCTTGACAGACGTGTGGCCGGAATTTTCTTAAGAGTGGCTTTGTACGTTTCATGCCGTATACCACCGACGTTGAGAATTACACGGTTATCCGCGTCAAGTGTGTTCATCGACATCTCGGTTTATATTTTGTTTTAAAACACCCGGAAAAAATTCCCAAGCTTTATTTTCATTGAACTCACTATAATTAATAATTATCCTTTTATAACTCCGAACGGAATAATCAGATACACATAAACAATTATCCTTTTGTATCACTGATAGCAATAACCAGGGTCATACTGACGTTTTAACCATATTCATATCACAGAGTTGGGCATCAAACAGAAACGTCATTGCGTTTAAGTATTTGGAAACCGGAAGTGATGAGCGCACTTTGGAAGCCTCAATATCATATTGACACGTGTGTGTCTGTATCACAGCAGTGTCTTATCCTCGGCTGGGAAACACAGTACTTATCACGGAACGGGGGTAACTTCTTTCTTTCTCTTTCCCATAGTGGTTGTGTAACTCCATACGCTTTCCTGACTTATCTCATGGTCTGGAAAAGTAAGAAAAACAGACAAAATTGAATAAAAAGATCATTGTAACAAGGATTTTTTTTTTTAATGAGGTAGACATACTTTTGCACGTTAAATGGCATATTACAAGAGAAAATTACACCACTGTCTTATAATGATGTTATAGGGTACACCAACATATTTGAAAATAACTTGAAACATAGTTTTGAAAACAAACACTCAGAATTGAAAAAAGTCATAATCCGTACAATACAAAAAAAGAATTCCTACAAAGTAGTTATTATCAGTAAACTATAAAATCAACAAGTTGCGGTGATACTTCAAGAGAAACACATACACGATACAGCCGTACCGATCGCTGTAGGTGCACAATGTATATCTATTTCGATAGGTGGGTACATCCGGGGGATCCGTTCACACCGTCAACAGTGACAACCGGAGTTGTGTTATACGCGCATATATATCGGAACACCAAGTACAAGCTTCAAAACGACACAGACTTATTATCTATAGCAATTCCTGTTGCAGTTAAGCATTTGGTGTGCCCGTGTATGATATGACATTTCCAAATAGCTATCGCCTACCGACAGAGTAATATATATCAATATCTATAAAAGTGAGAGTGTGTGTATATATGTATATATATATGATCGCCTGCGGACAGAAATATATAAACATATATACAAATATCTATAAATATGTATGTATTCTCCTATACCAATTTAGCAGCAGTTTCATTTATCTTTCATTTCATTAAGCATTGGGTAATCAATGCAATTACTTAATTCGCTTTGTGGTGTGTTCACACACATGACACTGCACACCGTATCAATACCGGGTTCCGCTCTGACACGCACACCAAGGGGCCCGCGACAGGGCTCTCCTCTATACAATCAAGTTATTTAATGACATTAAAATCTCGAACGAGATAATATAAAATTGATTAAACCATTGAATATTATAACAAAATTAAACACTCACCAGTTGAGTTTGATAATGGTTATGGACGTTATATTTAGGTATTTTAGGCCATTATAGGATAGTATGTGAAGAGAATTTCATAAAAAAGAAACAGAATACTGGGTACCTCAATAACGTACTGCTATGATAGGGTAGTGTATCGAATAACAAACCCAAAAGAAATGCATAATAGTGTGGAAAAAACCCTCTATTCAGCGTTAACCATTCAACAGAAATAATAATTGTGTATTTGTAATGTTTGGAAATCCCTATTTTGAACCACTGAAATACATGCACATTTATGCATATACAGATTACGTAATTATGTGAAATTTTGATATACCGATTCCCCAGACAACCCGAGGGACTTCCGGTAACAGACAATCAAAGCCAAAATCATCGACTACGTTCATCTTCCGCCATATTTAACTGCTCGACCTTTATCTACAGCTTGAATGTAAGCAAGCGATGTTCCCACGGTAGCAGGGAGACGTGGCGAGCCTCGCGTACGTTTGTCACAGGTTCGGAAGAATTGCCGCCAAAACTATCAATGCGCTTATTCAACGCCGAAGTTTCGTAGTATTTTTATGATTTATTACCAGTCTTTCTGTTGCCTGTATTGGGTGGGCGTGGAGACATGAGTCAGAGTTTGATTTTCAGCTCAAGAGAACATGTAGTCCTGTTCCGATTCGATGTGAAATAATGCAGGTATACGCCAACTATAAGGGATACATATCTACTGCCTCTCAACAACAAACAAGAATACTGAGTGTATCGAATGCTATACAACGTACTATGTATATTAACCCTATAGAATCACAGTCCTTAACAAAACCGACGGAATTTAAATATTAACTGCTACATTTCGCAACACAACCTTACTAAGACTCTCACGAAATCATTTGCTAAAATTCAAATTTTAAACTATTTAACACTGACCTCCGCTTCAATATACAAAAACCTTACAATTAGGTTTAATAAAAATAAAATAAAAGTAATTTTAGATTTGGCAATAACACCAACATGCATTAAATTAACGTAAACTTGGACATACAGGGTGACTGATTAAGTCTTCAAGTCATTAACAACTCCGACTAGAAGGACTTCATTGATTAAACACAATCCATATTTCGTGGAAAGACGCTTCTAATATTATAAACGTTTGTTGAACTCTCGACAAAATTCATGTTTTTTTCCCGTGAAATTGTTTCCCTTGTGACAGTAGTATCCTTAGAGAAGGTTAGCCAATAAGATTTTATTTCCAGAATTACTTGATATCGTGAGAAAGGAGATACGAATCAATGAACAAAACAGATGTGAAAATTGCTCATTTTTCCTTTCACAAACAATTAATTGATATCAAATTTGTTCTCAAATTAATGTGCTGCCCTATAGCAAACGAGATCAGTACTGTTCAACACGCGCCCTTAAATTCAAATCTAATATTGTTTTATAACGAGAGAAGAATTCCAGAAAAACAAAACGATTTCGTTTCCATGATTAGACATGATTTAAGCAAGGTCAGGACAATGCTTTGAACTAACCATATTTTAATGCTACCAGGTTGGTTTAATTCAATCAGCCTTTCGATGCGGAAGAAGCTGGCAAGTCGATCTGATATAAGTACAGTTTCGTACCAATCACCAGCATTCTCAGGTGTATTCTGTTCTTTCTAACAAGATTTGAGGGTCTCCGAGATCTGATCTTGTCTTGGAAATCTCACAGTTTTTTACCCCTCATTCTAATTCACCTCAACAGCTATTTCTTCATCGACTCTCTGATGACGTCACGAAAAGGCCACCGGAGTATACACTTCAACAAACTCGCAGACGACATTTGAAGTAATCATGGTAGCCCGGACGCTTGTTTTGCACGCAGTACGTGCTATTCTCCGTGCACGTCTGAGAGGGGAAGGTCGTTAAGCCAAAGTTTCGATTAAAGTTTTCAAATTAGAACAAAAGCTCTTTAGTTGGTCTGTCTGTATGGACTATCGCATGGACAAATTGATATTGCAGTGACTAAGAGATCTGACGCAGGAAGAGTTTATTTCAATTTTGCAGACGGTTAAGTTTTTACGATCCACATGTTGTAGTGTTTAAATTTCACATAAGCACGTGTTCACTTGGGGTTGAATGCCAGTTCGGTCTGTCAGGTCATCTGTTTCTATACAATGATGTAGGTTAACGTCTCATTTGCCCTTCAGAAGTCTTTTTAACCAAAAGTCAAGAGAAGATACCTCACAGCAATAATAAACGTTTTCTTCTTCACATCACTTGTGTTACACCTTTCGAAATAATAGCGTACACCAACAAACCATAATGATAAACCGTGAAGGTAAGTTCATTGATTTATTTACAAAATGTGAAAACTGAAGCTATACTCTGAGCTAATATTGCATTGAAAGCAGTTTACTTTTCAGCCAAGTGTTTCGTATCAAGTCGGAATATTTACGTTTGTTTTTTTCATTGTAAAATGCGTCAGCAAAGTGAGTCACTCAAAACCCGGAGTGGTGATAGTACAACACTGTGGAAAATCAAGGGAGGCCTGATCATTACATTGATAAAAAAAAACTAGACTTGTCCGATGTCTCTGGAATATTGAATTATTATAAAAAAAAGTGTTTGGTCACTTTGATGTCTGAACGTAAGTTCTGAAACTAGGGGGAGATAACTTAGTAGTAAAAACTAAGAGGCTGGTAGCCAGCCTAGAACAAAATCCGGCAATATCCGTGTTGTAGTTACTCCCAACATTTAGTCATGTGAAGATTAATTGTTGAAATGAGTATTTTTACCGTTAATTATTAGTATCTCACAACCACTATAGGTTTCCTCACTCACGATTCATTGGGTAAACATTTTTGGTTACTCACTAGTGGGTAACACCGTGAACGCAGCGTCATTGGTCTATCTTATTATTATGTTGTCAAGCAACACTGCTTTGCAATTGTCATCAATCAATGACAACTGTTCTCAGATTTGAAACAACGATAATGCATTCCCATGAGAAACATGATTTTCTAGATACAATATGACGTTGTGGGAGAAAACAGTACCCAAACTAGTGATGGTTCTTTCAAATTGTAAAAGATACTCGGTAAACCTGGTGTCTTTACACAATTTGAAAATTAACTGAAGCAAGTTCGATAAACATGATAATCAACCAACACTGGTTACATTAACTCTATATCCCATGACAGATCCACTATTTATACAAATTTGTTCCGTTTCCACAAGGCCCCTTCAAATCAAATATGGAACAAATGGGCAGACCCATGGTTTACACATAATTGATTCCCCTTCACGCAATGATGCTTCAGACCAAATACGGAACAAATCCTTTTACTCCTACAGAAGAGGAAGGATTTAAAAGAATTTGCTATATTTCTCTTATTGGGCCCCGCCCCTCAGGCCCCAGGGGTCCAGACCCATCATTTATACAAAATTTGTTCCCCTTCCCTCAAGGAATTTTGACCAAATTTGGTCAAAATCTGCTCAGTCGTTCATGACTAGTAGCGATTTTAAGGAAAAGTTGACGGACGGACGACAAACGACGGACGCTGCGCCATGCCATATGCCATAAAAAACGTGTTGACATACATGGCGAATCTAATGCCGGTATGAATGAACGCAAATCGGAACTCATCGAATTCATATTGCACGAAACTTACAACATGTTGAATATGTATGTTACCGATGTAATGGCGTTCGTACTGCCATTAATGTTTAAAGGTGCCTTCAGTACGTATCAGTGACCTTATCGGTATCGTTAATGTAATGTGCTGGTTTGTTCTCTAAAATGGCGCTGTGCTACCGGGACAAAACAAAAACTAAAATCAACAGCTCAATTTTATTCTCTTAACAGTACTTACACAACGGTGTTTGTCGTTTTTTCGTTCATCCTAGATAGTCGAAAAAACTTCTTTTTTATTTTCTTAACGGCGAGTTGTCGCCCCATTAAGGCTAAAAACCGCCGTTTTATTTTATAATTAGCGCTTTGTCGCCGAGAAAGGAAAACACTATTCTGATAGGCCACCACCAATTGTGATATCTTCCCATCGTGA